CCCTATGCCAAGACTGACTCGGGTCAATAGAAGCAAGTCTCAAACCTAAAAGGAAGTGGCCATGGTCCTTTCCTGTCTGTCACAGCCTGCACAGCAAGTCGAGGCCTGTCTTTTCAAGTGTTCACTTCTCAAGGTTGGATCAAAGGATGACTATTGTGTTTGAATACCAGCTGTGAATGTCAACATTGCATTACTGGACCAGAAATGGAGTTATTCCCCCCTGCCAAGTGCGTAGGAGGCTCTCCACCTCTCCGGACTGTAGAAAAGAGATTGTTAAGACCTGGGTGATGGAGGGGATGCTCAGTCAACGACAGCCGACAGAAGAGACCATAAGTGCCTATGAGAAGCCCATACTCTCCTGCTATCACGATCACCAGGAAGTTTTAAGGTTCTCAGCTTGCTGGTGTCCTATGGACATCCATCTAAAGACTGTACCCTGTATAGATGGCTCCAAGGCACCGCCCACCCCAGCTCTTTTAGAAATGCCCCTCCCACCTGAGAGCCACAGGCCCACATTTCCCCCAAGGTTTGGCAGCTGCTTTCTGTCTCAGACAACACTGTTATTTTCGCTTTAACAACAGATCAGGTGAGGGCTGTTTAGAAGGGGGCGTGCCCTCCTTGTCGCTCACCTGGAATGCCAGGTGGCTCCTTAATGAATCCTGTGTGGAGAACCGAAATGAAAGGAGGGTAGGTAAGTCTAGAGGCAGAGAGGCCTCCGGAGCTGCCAGACCGGCTGCAGTGAGACAGCGCTCAGGGACCCACAGTCGTGACACTTTCCGAGGGATACACAGGTGAGAAACTCAGGCAGCAGGTGTGTCTGCTTTCACTGCTGCTGTTCAGGGTAGAGAGGGGAACCAACTATTTGTGGGTGGCTGGAGGCAGATGGAGCGTGAAGCTTTCATTATTTTTTAAAATCATGTATGTATGATAAATATTAGCGTGTGTGTGTGTGTGTGTGTGTGTGTGTGTGTGTGTGTGTGGTGTATGGACATGTGTGCGCGCAGCTTTGTGCCCTGTGCGCATTCCCAGAAGTCAGAGGAGCACACTGAGTGTCCTGTTCTTACTCTTTACCTATTCCCTTGAGACCATCTCTCAATGAACCTGGAGCGAGGCTGACAGCCAACACACCCAACGATTCCCCTGCCCCTGCCCCCGCCCCCACCCCAGTGCTGATTATAGAGGCCCACAGCCGTGCTGGCTTTTTATATGGGTTCTAGGAATTTGGAATTGAGGTCCTTATTCAAGTACTCTCCCAGCCCCTTACTAATGACACTATTTTTTTTTTAAAGATTTATTTATTAAGCATACAATGTACTGCTGGCAAGGAGGTTGTGAGCCACCATGCGGTTGCTGGGAATTGAACTCGGGACCTCTGGAAGAGCAGCCAGTGCTCTTACCCTCTGAGCCATCTCTCCAGTCCCCCCCCCCTTTTTTTTAAAATCACATCACAGATACAAGTCAGTGTGAAAAAGATCTACAGGGGCTCAATTATTTCTGGCTTTAAAAAAAAAAGTTCATGCATCAAAATACAATTGAAGTATCCATCTGTCCCTTAGACGTCTGACTACTCAAGAGCTGCGCCTGGGCCTCTCAGTGGCAGAGTCAACCCTAACCTCTCCGTTTCCATCCACACAAACTTTCAGGTGGCTTGAAGGTGTGTCGTGTATCACGTCGTCCTCACTCCCGTGTTTGAGGAAGGGATGGCTGGGGGTGCTGAGTTTTTCCCTTGTTTTCCCGAGTTGGTGTGGTTTAGCTTCTCCCTCCTGAGAGCCCACCTAGCTGAGGAGCAGTTGGTGGCTGCCGGGGGAGGGAGGGTGTTTAGTGTGCTACGAAGACCATTTTATAATCGATTGCAACTACTTCATTAAAAATTCCCAGCCAGGGGCTGGGAAGATGGCTGCCAGTAAAGGGCTAGCCCATGAGGCATAGGACCCGAGTTCAGATCCCCAGCACATGCGTGAAAAGCCAGGTGCCGTAGCTTAAACTTGCAATTCCCAGTGTTGGGGCAGCAGACACAGAAGGAGCCCTAGGGCTCACTGGCTGGCAAGTCTAGCCTAACTTGTGAGCTCCAGGCCAAGGAAAGACCTTGTCTCGAGGGTGATGGATGACATGCCTGAGGATAACACCCGAGGTTGTCCACCACACCCCGCACACATGCACATAAATGCATACATACAAAATTCTCTGGCCTCTACATACCTGCGTGTGCGTGCACGTGTGAGCGTGTGTATGAGTGTGTGTGTGTATTTCAACACACCTTTACCAAATAGCTAAGACATAGCCCAACGGTGTTCGGAAAGAGGACAGTCATCTTAGAAATGACTGCCCTCATGGCAAGCTCCAGAAGCGGCGGAGGTCAGCTGTTGTACACATGGAAACCCACCTCCAGGTGGAGATGGGCCCCTGTCTCCTCCCTTACAGGTTAATCCAGTGGGGAAGGTCAAGTGACCTGGCAAGGGGACCACCCCTGGGAAGTTGGGTTTGCTTTAAGATAATGTACTTTTTCATCCTGGAATTCACCCCTTAGTGCAGTCCCTGTGAGTCAGTACGGGGCTTAGCTGTGTCTGTTTACCTGCTTCAAGTCCTGACTCAGAAAGCCACAATTATCCCTGGGAGCGCTGGCCAGAGCCTCAGCATGTTTTTAAACTCTAATGGATGTTTTGGGTTTTCTTGCTCGCTCCTTCCTGCCTTCCTCCTTTCCTTCCTTCCTTCCTTCCTTCCTTCCTTCCTTCCTTCCTTCCTTCTTAACCACTGAGGCATCTTGCCTGTCCTCCCTGTTCCTTTTCAAAGCTCAGTGCCCTACCGCATTGCTACCTGCCACCCAGTCGCTATCCTCCTGCCACCGAGTCGCTATCCTCCTGCCACCGAGTCGCTATCCTCCTGCCACCGAGTGGCTATCCTCCTGCCACCGAGTGGCTATCCTCCTGCCACCGAGTGGCTATCCTCCTGCCACCCAGTCGCTATCCTCCTGCCACCCAGTCGCTATCCTCCTGCCACCCAGTCGCTATCCTCCTGCCACCGAGTGGCTATCGTCCCTGCCTGCCTGTTCTCTCCACTCTCCCTCCTTGCAGATGTGGGATTCACAGCTTGCCTGCCCTGGCCTTTCCCTTCAACTCTAACAAATTGTCCTCAAGCTCCATTTCAGCCCACTCTTTGCTTCTGTCTGGTTTATCAAGACAGGGTAAGTCCTCCTTATCTGTGTAGTCCTGGTTGTCCTGGAGCTCTTTCTGTAGACCAGGCTGGCTTTGGACTTTGAACTCAGAGATCCTCCTGCCTCTGCCTCCTGAGTGCTGGGATTAAATGTGTGCACCCCCACTGCCTGGGACAGTTTTTTGTGGCACCAAACGTGTCCTTTATGAGCAGTACCCACAACAGGAGTAGTGGGGTTCTCAGCCTCCTCCCGGCGGGGTGGGACAGGCCAGGTGCAGGATAAACACTGTCTGTGAGCTAACATGTTTGCTCCTCACGCCAGCCTAAGAGTTAGGTGCATTGCTGTATATCCCTCATTTCAGTGCTGAGGAAAAGGAGGTTCACAAGAAGACAAATTCCTCAAGCCAGGAGCCTGATAAATAGAAGGGGATCTAAACACAAGAGTAGTCTGCTTGAGATGAGACGGATGACAGGAAAAAATAGGACTGTTTGTGCATGTGTGGGTGCTCGTGTGTGTGTGCACATGTGTGTGCTCATGTGTGTATGCACATGTGTGGGTGCTTGTGTGTGTGCTCATGTGTGGGTACTCGTGTGTGTGCTCATGTGTGGGTACTCGTGTGTGTGCACATGTGTGGGTACGTGTGTGTGCACATGTGTGTGTTCGTGTGTGTGCGCACATGTGTGTGTGCACATGTGTGGGTGCTTGTGTGTGTGCACATGTGTGGGTGCTCGTGAGTGTGTGCACATGTGTGTGCTCATGTGTGTATGCACATGTGAGGGTGCTCGTGAGGGTGTGTGGGTATCTGTCTATGCATGTATGTGCACATGTATGTGTATGCTAGCCGTCAACCTTGGGTGTGGTCCCTCAGAAATGCTGTCCACATTTTCCTGAGGCAGGGTTTCTCACTGGCTTGGAACTCATAGGCCAGGCTGACTGGTCAGAGAGCCCCAGGAGTCTTCTTGTATCCACACCAGTCTTTCTTTCTTTCTTTCTTTCCTTTTCTTTTTTCTTTTTTTTTCTTTTTTTTTTTTCTTTCCTGCTTCAACATTTTCAGGGAGAAGACACTACACTTGAACTTAAGAAAAACCCTTTACAGCCCAGGTCTTTTATTTATTTTTATACATCAGGCCATGAATTCGTAGGGAATGGGCTCCAGCAGCTCAGGCTCCGTCCTGTTAGTCCTCACAAAGTGTGCTTCTCTGGGTGGAGCAGGCTGGCGCTTCAACTGAACCCAGGTGCCCTTCGCTTTGGCTTCCCTTTTCTTCTGGCCATTCTCCTTCCCCCGCCTCAGGAAGCTGTCTCTGCTCTTCAGACACTTGATGTGTTCAATCCACGCACTAATTCTCATGGCAAGAATCTTGCCCTTACTTGCTTGTTTACAATGATGCCCACAGCATGCTGGTGACCCTGTAGACTCTTCCAGTTTTGCCATGGTAACATTTATGGGGCATTCCTTTTTGAACAGTGCCCATTCCCTTGGTGTCTACAATATCACCCTTCTTGTACACTCACATGCACGTGGCCAAAGGAAAAACTCCATGTTTCCTAAGGGCCTAGAGAACATCGCGAGTGCCCCCCTCTCTCCCTGGTGTTTTCCACTTTGGTGAGTTCCTGAAAGATGGCTGCTGCGGCTGGAAGCTTTTTTTTTTTTTAAACGTGTGTATAGAAAAAGCTCCTCCCATGTGCACAGCCAGCTACCAACTTACCTCCTAGGACTTTTGATGGCTCAAGGCAATTTTACATGAGTAGACTTGCCACATGATATGCCCTCTATGGTCATTATGTGTCCTCTCTGCTACTGTCCCTGGCTTCATTAGGGAAGCTGTGTGGGGAGCTGTAGTGACCCCTGATGGCAGCCAAGCAGAAAGAACCCGTGACGGTCATTAGCCTTCGGAAGCTGAGCCAGGCAACCCCAGAGCCACAGCAGAAAGGTAAGACCGCCGCAGAAGGCCTGGCTTTCAGACTAATGCTGACATTGTTCTAATAATGAGCAGGGGCCAAGGTTATAGGTCAGACGGCAGCGTGCTTGCCTAGCTGGCATGAAATCCTACCCTGGTTCCCAGTACCATATAAACTGGGTGTGGAGGTGCATGTCTGTAATCCCAGCGCTGGAGAGGGAGAAACAGGAGGGTCGGGAGTCATCCTCTGCTGCGAGTAGGAGCTTGAGGTCACTCTAGGCCACGCAAGACCCCAATAAATAATAACAATAATGTTGCACATAACTCTAAAGGTGATCCACAGTCCTGGGGGTTCCATTCCTACTCAAGGGGTCCTTACATTCTGCCTTCCTTGTCAGAGACAAAGACGTTCACTGTGGAGGATGCCGTGGAGACCATTGGGTTTGGACGCTTTCACATCGCACTCTTTCTGATCATGGGCAGCACTGGGGTGAGTGCTTTTGGAGACGCTTGGCATCTGAGACACTGTCCTCTCTGCTGGACACTGTCTTCCTGCTGGCCTCCACCACCGGACTGGCCATCCCAGGGAGTGGGAGTCCTGTGGAAATCATTTCAGCAGTCCTTGGCATGGGTTGGCTGGGAACAATGTCTGCGTGTGTCTGTCCTGGCAATTCCAGACTCCTCGTAAAAGTTTACATTGAGTTGTTGGGGAGAAGGGAGAGGACCATGGGGTTATTTCACGTGGGGTAGGTGTGTGGCCCTTGAGCGTGTGTGCATTGGTATCACCTGGAATGCCTGCTGTCAGGAAGATTCTAGATCCCCTAAGAGGAATTCCCTTCTATTAGTGGCATGTGTTTCTCCTAACTTCTGTTGTATGCTAGGCATGGTGGCTACACCTGTAATCCCAGCGTTTGGCAGGGAGCTGTAAGAAGATCAAGAGTTCAGGGTCATCTGCTGTGTATTGAGTTTGAGGCCAGCTAGGGATACATGAAATCTGACATCAGTTCCTGGAACTCATGTAAAGGTGTGAAGAGAGAATGGCTTCCTCCCAGATGGGCATGTGGACACACACACTACATATACACCACACACATATAAACACACGACACACATGCACACACATTTAGACTTTTTTTTTTAGTCTGGCCTCAAGCTCACAGAGATCCGCCTGCCTCTGCCTCCCGAGTGCTGGGATTAAAGGCGTGCACCACCACCGCCCGGCTAGACTTTTTGTTTTTTCTTTTAATTTTTAGAAAGGGCTAGTGGTATGTCTCAGTGAAAGAGACATATCTAGCGTGTGAAGTCTCAGCAAAGCCCTGGAATAGGTCCCTGCTCCTCCCACCACCCCCATTTATCCACCCCTGTACTTCTCCACCCATGCCGGTACAAAGATCAAATCAGGTAAAATCTGTTGTTTTTAGGGGAAATGGGATCTTGTTATGCTGTCCTTGGTATGGTGGTCTTAGGTGATTCCAGTCCTAAATAATTAATTCTCTAATAAATTCCACCAAATATTCACTAACTAAAAGCAGCAAATAATATTCAGATATAATTATGCCACTTGAGAGGAAGAAGCAGGAAAATTAGGAGTTCAAGGCTAGCCTCAGCTACATTGAGAGGAAGAAGCAGGAAGATTAGGAGTTCAAGGCTAGCCTCAGCTACATTGCAAATTCAATGCCAACCTGGTTACTTGAGACAGTCTCAAAAACAAATAAAAAATGACAGACAAAAACTGGGTGTCATGTCTTATGACTGTCATCGAAACACTTAGAAGGCTGAGGTAGGGAGATTGCTGTGAGGCTAGCCTAGGCTACACAGGGAAATTTTCTCTAAAAAACACAAATAAAACCAAGACCAAAAGTCATCCAACACAGAAGCATCTTTCTGGAGCTGTGTGCTCCCTCGGGAGAGAGGGTGGGATAGAAAGAGGTATATCAGAAGCATCACACCCCACCTTTCATGGTAACATGCCACGCAATGCGGAACCCTTCCTTATATGCAGAGGGAAGACTCTCCCGGCTCACGCTCTCACAGTTCCACGCTCAGAGCCAACAGCAGGTTTTACTACTTCTGTTCCTGGAGAGGGACCGCGTTACTCCTAAGCAGTGCATTTCCTTTGGGACCCTTTAGACATTCGGTCCTGATGGTCATCGCCCCTCTGTTCCGTATCACTAAGAAGGAGGAGTTTAGCAAAGCGAACATCTTTCTGAGATGACCCTGCTGCCTTAGTCCTGTGCTAAAACAGCCCACTCTGAGGACAGCTGCAATCCTCTAGAGAAGACAAGCCACAGCCTGGGGACCACTGCTCCTCCACAGGTGCATTTTCATCCCCAGAGACACTCTGAGGGATGCCCTCCAAAAAATAGGAGGCAGGAGGGTGAATTGAAAGCCTCAAAAAGAAAAAGAGTAAAAAGAGTACAAAAAGAATGAAAAAATGACGGAGTATAGCCTCAGAGATGAAGGAAAAGATAAGTTTAAAGGAGACAGTCAGATTAAAAGGAGTACCCCCAAGAATGCAGCACCCCCGCTGGCTGAGCCTGACAGATTGACTACATCCAAATTCCCCAAAAGATTGTCGAGGAAAAGAAAGAAAAAAAGGGGTGAGATGTTGGGAGCAGTGAACCCCCAGATCCTGAATTTCTGGTAAACAACTTGTTTTCCTCTGCTCTGAGACAGCCTGCAGCTGCCCTGAGCACGAGACCCTGAGGAGTTCCTGATGGCAGGAGAGTGGTTTCTGGTGGATTTGGCTGGGGCGTGGCTATCAGTTAAGGATCTCTATATAAGCAGCTCTGGTACATAATAAAGGGGACATTGCTGTTTCAAGGATCACCTGTGTCTTTGTCTGTGAGTCTTTGTGTGTTTCAATCTTGCCCGGTTCATGAACGGTATGGTAGCACATAAAGCTCAGATGGGCTTGGTGTGCTGCAAAACTCCAGACAAATGTGTTCGCTTCCTTTAGTTCTTCTTCCTCCTCCTGATATCTTTGTCCGTGTCTGTGATGTTTGTGTTCATCTTGCCCTGCAGGTACAGGTCCTCAGATTTGGCTGGACACAGTGGTAGGTACTGTAGTCCCAGTGACTCAGAACACTGAGGTAGGAGGATCACTTGAGGTTGAGAGTTCAAAGCTGACTTTGGTGGTGTGTGCACCTGCAATGCTAGTGCTGTGGGGAGCGGAGGAGATGAGGGGGTCCCGGTGCTTCCTGGCCATCCAGCCAAGCCAAATTAGTGAGCCCCAGGTTCAGAAAGAGACTGTGTCTGAAAAATAAGGTTGAACCAGAGGGAAAAATAAGGCAAAAGACCCTTGCAAAAGACCCAACACAAACATGGCAGCTCACAACCATCTACAGCTCCAGTTCCAGGGGATCCAGTACCAACTTCCGGCTGCCATGGCTCCTGAAAACATGCACACAGGCACACACACACACCTACACACACCTCAAAAATAAATTAGGTAGAGGTGACTGTCGGGAGGGGACAGTGTGGGCATGTCTCTTTCTACAGCTCTCACTTGAGCGGCCTGTCCCAGGCTGTCCTGTCTTTGTTGCCCTTTATCTAATTCACCTGTTCCTACTCATTCATTTCTGGTATCTGCTTCCTTCCCGTGAGAGATAAACCCACCCTGAAATGGAGTATAGGGTATGGACAAAGATTAATTGTGCGGGTTAGTTTCGGCTAACTTGGCGCAAACCTAGGCACGCCTGTCAGGAGGGAACCTCATCTGAAGAACCGATCCCATCAGATTGGCCTATGGGCACGCGTAGGACATTTTCTTGATCGCTGATTGATGCAAGGGTGGGTGGGAACGCAGCCCACTGTGGGTTCCTATTATAATCTACAACTGACGGTGCTGTGGGAACTCCTCCAGCAGGTTCCAGCCTCGAGCAGGTGAGCTTGTTTAGAAAAGTAGCTAAGCAAGGCGGGAAGCAGCTCCCCCCCACGGCCTCTGCTTCAGTCCCTGCCTCCAGGTTCCTGCTTGGAGCTCCTGTCCTGCTTTCTCTCCACGGTGGACTACAACCTGTAGGTTAAGTAAACCCACTCTTCCCCTCGTTGCTTCTGGTCCTGGTGTTTATCCCAGCAACATAAAGCAAGTTCTAGTAACTAGTGTTCTAGTAACCCTTCTCCTCTCAAAATCCTCAGTAGCACATCCTACATCATCTGTCAAGTGGACATTCTTCCCTGAAAATGAACTCCTTGCTTTTGTGCCCGTTGCTTTGTCTTCCAGCCTTCAGAAACCTTCCTATCTCCTTGAGACCCAAGCTTCCTGACGTAAGAAGCTGTTTCTAAACCTCCCTTGCAAAAGTGTATCCTATCATCCTCATAACACACTGTGACTAGCTAGGCTCACCCGCTAGCTCAGTGACTGGCCCCTCACACATGCGCAGGTCAGCACACACAGGGAATCTCTAGGGACACTCCCAAGTTGTACAGACTGTGGCTATCACACCTATGAAAGCTGAGGATCTCCTACAGGTGTCTACTTCCTTTTTCCGCTTTGCTTAGTGTGGGGTTTCTCCAGTCAGGGTCTTGATAGGAAGTCAGTGCTGGCCTCAAACCCACCATGCTCCTGCCTCAGTCTCCAGAGTGGTGGGATCACAGGTGTATGCTGCTGTGCCTGGTTCTGCTGTAATTGTTTATTTATCTAGGGGAAGAGAAAAGAGGCCATCAGGACTAGGAGGGTGACAGACCTATGTGGCGGTGGCATGAGCTAGTGTGTTTCCTGCTTTGTCTTTAAGGTGGTGGAAGCCATGGAGATCATGTTAATAGCGGTTGTGTCTCCTGTTATCCGCTGTGAATGGCAGCTGGAGAACTGGCAGGTGGCACTTGTCACCACGGTGAGTACCTGCTGCCTGTGCTGTGGGAATGAACAACTTGAAGGTCTGGCTTCCCTTCCAGTACTCGGAGAGCCGAGCGCCAACCCTGGCCCCACCCAAAATGAGGAGTGCTGGCCTCCAAGCTCATGGGTTTCCAGACCCCATAGTGGTTAGCGCTCAGCGCCTTTCTCTCTCTCTCTCTTCCTCTGGTGAATAACCTTGAGTAGCCAAGCATCCCTAGCCCATGTTACCTCCCCTAATTCTAGAACAGTCTCACCTCCACGCACTGCCAGCCCCAGCCCACCTCTCTAGCTGATCTTCACTGGTCCTCAACATCCGCCAAAACAATACGTCCTCCCTGAAAAAGCCTTGGACTCAGTATGTGTCACAGTTTTCAGAGTTCCATTCCATGCCACAAAAGGCAACCTTAGGTAAAGAACGCATGGCTTCATAGTCAATATGGTTTTTTCTTTTTTTTTTTCAAGACAGGGTTTCTTCATAGCTTTTGGTTCCTGTCCTGGAACTAGCTCTTTTTTTTTTTTTTTTTTTTTTTTGGTTTTTCGAGACAGGGTTTCTCTGTGGTTTTGGAGCCTGTCCTGGAACTAGCTCCTGTAGACCAGGCTGGTCTCGAACTCACAGAGATCCGCCTGCCTCTGCCTCCCTAGTGCTGGGATTAAAGGTGTGCGCCACCACCGCCCGGCCTGTCAATATGTTTCTTATGAAGTGGATGTTAAAGTAAGCTTTCTATGGTTGACCAAGATGTGAAGAAGACATATTAAAATCGTGGGGAACATGCTATGGATGTGAGCAGCCACTGCAGGGCTTTAAAGAGGGCCGTGATTGGGTGTCCAAGATCTCTGAGGAAATATGGCTGAAGGGCCAGGTTCCAGGGATACGGTGTCTGATGGGGAATGGCAGTGCCTGGAGGTGAGGCTGTGTGCTCAGGAGTTACTAAGGAGATAGCATCAGCCTCAGAGGTCCAGAGCACAGGGTAATGGGAAAGGGTTGACTTACCTGTCATTAACACTGGTGTTAACGGAGACAACTTGTAACAGAAAGGCATACAGATGTGGCCAGAGTGAGAGGACTTTTTGGGAGGCAGGAAGGTGGTGACCTGTAGCAGTCCTGGAAAATTCGACAAGTTTGATTCTTCCCCTTCCCTGGCTTAAGTCCTTCCAAGCTCGCAAGGACAGAGGAGCCACCCTTGTTTGGAGGGATGGTAGGACAGATGGCTGCCTTTCTGCTCACAGCCTTCTCTGAATTTTACCCTCTCCCTCAGAACTGCCCTGTATTCTCTTAATGTGTAGTAAGTTCGAATCCTGCTTCTTTCTGTGTCTTGGAGGATGGAAGGCGTGGAGCCCAGATTTGTCTCCAGTCACAGTTCCACATCTGCCCTTTTCTGAGAAGACAGGAATGTGTGCAGTGTGTAAACCAGAAAGTTGTCCTTTGCTTTTTGAGACAGGATCTCACCACACAGCCCAGGCTGCCATCCCTCTTTCGTTTGCACGCCTACCCCGGTTCAGCCTCTTGAGTTACAGATGTGTGCCATTGTTCTAGACAATGTGTTTCATATTAAATAAGGGAGCAGAGCCGGGCAGTGGTGGTGCACTTCTTTAATCCCAGCACTCTGGAGGCAGAGGCAGGCGGATCTCTGTGAGTTCGAGGCCAGCCTGGTCTACAAGAGCTAGTTCCAGGACAGGCTCCAAAGCTACAGAGAAATCCTGTCTCAAAAAAACAAACAAAAAAATTAAGAACAGAACTCCTCAGGGAGGGAAAGGGGATAGGGAAGAGTGCAGGGCAGGGGTGAGGTTAGTGTCCTGTTGATGTGCACTTTCCCAAGGGGCTGCAGAAATGCAGGCTTCCGGGTTAACAAAGCTTTGCTTGAGCCAAGGTTTCTGTCCCAGAAAGCAGAGAGTCCAGGGCAAAAGTCATGGCTTTTGTACCTCGAGGATCTATGGGATGAAAACTAAGACACTTAAATTTTAAAATTAAAAAATATGCCAGAAAATGGGAAGACTCCATGCTCATGGGTTGATAGAATTAATGTCATGGAAATGGCTGTGCTGGCGAAGACAGTCTGTAGATTCATTGCAATCCCCGTCAAAATCCCTATGGTACTCTATGAAGAACTGGAAAAAACAATTAAAATTAATGTGTGGACACCAAAGATTCATGATCAAAGCAACTCTAAGCAGAAAGATCGATACAGATATAATACTTGACTTCAAATTACATTACAGAGCCATGATGACAAACAGTGTTGGCACAACACTGATGTGCAGAGCAAGGGTGCACAGCAGGGGACGCAAACCCACACAGCACTGGGCACACAACTTTTGAGAAGGGTGTCAGAAACACCCAGTGGAAAGCATACAGCCTTTCTGCAGATGGTGCTGGGGAACCTGCGTAGACACACAAAGGATGAAATTAGAACTACATCTCACTTTGCACAAAAAAATCAATTAAAAATGGATCAAAGACCTTCATCTAACACCTGAAACACTGAAATTGCTTGAAGGAAACAGGAAGACTACTCCAAGACATAGAAATAGGAAAGGACTCTCGGAAAGACTCCAATAACACAGGATATTGCCCAGTTGACAAGTGGGATGATGCGAAATTAAAAAGCTTCTGTATAGCAAAGAAAGCAGCCAGCAGAGCGGAGGGGCAGCCTCCAGAAAGGGAGAAAACCTCTGCCTGCTCAGAGAGGAGGCCAGTGTCCACAAACATGCGGAGAACTGAAAAACAAATTCCACGCGAGATCCCAAATCTCCCATTCAGTAAGTGGTCTACTGCACTGGACAGACAGCTCTCAAGAGGAGACACAGCAATAAACACTGCAAGCAGTCATCATCCTTAGCTCTCAGAGAAGATTTCATCTTACACCAGTCACAGCGGCCGTCAGCAGGAAGACAAATGACAACAAATGTTGGCAAGGATGCGGGCAAAGGGAAGCCCTTATTCACCACCGTTGATACTGATGTAGTCTCTATGGAAATCGGTATGGAAGCTTCTTTTAAAAAACAAACTAAAAAACTAAAACCAGAACTATTATATGAGCCAGCTATGCCACTTCAGGACTCAAAGTGTCCTTGGTTCAATTGCAGACACTTGCATATCCACGATTGCTGCGCTGTGCACAGTGGCCAGAGATGGAACCATCGTAGATGTCCATCAACGGATGAATGCATCGGAAAATGTGGTCCATGTATAAACCAAAATTTTATTCAGTCATAAGGGAAGAAGAGTCATGGCATTGTGTGGGAATGTCTGGAACTGGAACTCATTAAGTTAAGCCAAGTATCCAGACTCAGAAAGACAAACACAACGTATTTTCACTGATGGTGTGGGTCTTAGATTCTAACTTTTATATATGTGTTTAGGGTAGATGTATGTCATGAAGGGAAGATGATAACCATGAGAGGTCTTGAGAGCTGGGGAAGATGGAAACAAAGGTAACAGAATACAAGGGATGTGACAGCAGGAGGGAGGGACAAAAGGGACCCACAGGAAAACAGGAGGAGGGAAAACAGGAAGGAAGGAGGGGCCATAAAAAGAAATTGGGGGCCGGGCGGTGGTGGCGCACGCCTTTAATCCCAGCCCTCGGGAGGCAGAGGCAGGCGGATCTCTGAGTTCAAGACCAGCCTGGTCTACAAGAGCTAGTTCCAGGACAGGCTCCAAAACCATAGAAACCCTGTCTCGAAAAACCAAAAAAAAAAAAAAAAATTGGGGGACAGAGAGAAGACTCTGCTGTTAAAAACACCTGCTGCTCTTGCAGAAGACACAAGTTTGAGTCCCAGCACCGATGTTGGGCAGCTCAAAACCACCTGTAACTCCAGCTCCTTGTATCTGACCTGCCTGGGCACCTTGGACATCCACATGCACAATCCATCTTTAAAAAGTGCATGAAAATGCTGCAACGAAGCCCATTGCATACAACCTGTATGCTTATTAAACCAAGTATTTATAAAGGAGAATATATTAGAGCCTAAAGTTCTGGGTTTGACCTGCAGCACAGAAGTGGGGTGGGGCAGATGTGCATGTATGATGACGTGCAGAAGTGGGTGGGGCAGATGTGCATGAATATTTCCTTGTCTTTTTTTTTTTTTTGGAACTAGCTCTGTAGACCAGGCTGGCCTCGAACTCCCAGAGATCCTTCTGCCTCTGCCTCCCGAGTGCTGGGATTAAAGGTGTGCGCCACCACCACCTGGCTCATGAGTCTTTCTTATGAGGGGCAGAAAAAAAACAAAGCAAAGCAGGCAGCAGAGAGAAGCAGCCTCCCCCCCCCCCCCCCCGAGGTGCTGCAGGCAAAGCTGGCACTGCGCCTCTGGTTTCCTGGAGGCGTCAGCCAGGAGGGTTCCTAAGGGAAAAAGTGATTGTCTGGAAGGTAGAGAAGTAGGTGCTGGTTGCACAGGTCCACACAGAGCCAGGCTGAGTGAGGTGCTGGACAAGAGAGGAAAGCAAGCGGCTCCACCCGATGACTTATAGTTCGGAGATTTTATGTGTTTATTGAGACAGGGTCTCCATGTGTAAGTGCCAGGCTTTCCTGATATGGTTGGTGGGAATGGAAACCAGGCTGGGGTCGGAGGTCTCGGCAAGAATGACGCTTTGACCAGTTTAATAACAATCAGACATTTTATACACATTCAGAAACAGGATACATTGGGCGGTGGTGGTACACGCCTTCAATCCAAGTACTCAGGAGGCAGAGGCAGGCGGATTTCAGTGAGTTTGAGGCCAGCCTGGTCTACAAGAGCTAGTTCCAGGACAGCCAGAGCTACACAGAGAAACCCTGTCTGGGGGGGGAGGGGGGAGAAAAAACCAAAAAGGAAAGAGACTACAATTGTAGTTGCCAGGACACAATGATGTTTGCTAGCTATACAGGATACTCAAGATTAATGTCTAAGACTAATTGTACAACCAAGCTTCTGTGTGCTTCTGCTGACTTCTGGGGAATGCAGAGGTACACAGGAGACTTGAATGCTCCCCTGCATGGGGGTGCCTTGGTCTCTCAGGTACTGGAAGGCACCCAGTACCCCAGGAGCCATGAACTCTAACCTGAAGAACCTATGACTCACGCCTCTCGAGGCAGCTAGACCAGGCCAGCTCCATGATTCCCTGCATCTATGTAGCCCAAGCTGGCCTCCAATACATGGTGTACCCATGGGCGACCTTAGATTTCTGACCCTCTTTCTTCCACCTTGGGAGTGCTGGGTTTACAGACACTTAATCCATAAGCCAACCATCTTGGCTGCTTTTATGTGAATCTGGGAATGGAACCCAGGGCCTTGTGCATGATAAGCAAACATCCTGCCAACTGAGCCCCGGCCCCAGCCCTTTAGAGGGTTTTAGGTGGATGATTGGTTCAGGTGTTCATTTAAAGTTTGTGACAATGCAATGAAAGACAGGTTCAGTATAGACCCCCAACCCCAGAAGCCTGCCTGCTTGCCCTGAGCCCTGGGGTGCTCTGGGAAGCCCATCTCCAACCTAATTTTAGCTAGGATGGTTTAGCTCTATGCTTAACGTAGTAACTGCACTTCTTCCTAGTGTGATCTGCTTAGAGCACTGTTTCTCTTCACCCTGACTCTAGATGGTGTTTTTTGGCTACATGGTGTCCAGCATCCTTTTTGGTCTCCTGGCTGACAGATATGGCCGCTGGAAGGTAGGTCAGGCCATGTAGGATACCCCCCATTCCCCCGCCCCCCACCACCCTGTACTCTGTTGGGCATTGTCCCAATCCTTCCCTTCCGCGGACCTGCCCCCACATCACTACCTCTTCCCTCAAAGGAGATAAGAGTCAAACACAAGTGACGGTGGCCCAGGAGAAACACAGATGCAGGTTACCACAAGTATCACATTTATGCTGGCTGGTTTTATGTCAACTTGCCAGAGGCTGGAGTCATCAGAGAGGAGGAGCCTCAGTTGAGAAAATGCCTCCGTAAGATCTGGCTGCAGGCAAGCCTGTAGAGCGTTTTCTTAACTAGGGGCTGACGGGGGAGGGCCCGGTTTATTGTGGGTGGTGAAATCCCTGGTTTGGTGGTCCTGAATTCTATGAGAGAGCAGACAGAGCAAGCCAGTAAGCAGCTCTCCTCCATGGCCTCTGCATCAGCCCCTGGCTCCAGATTCCTGCCCTGTTTAGTTCCTGTCCTGTCTTCCTTCATTGATGAACAGTGATGTGGAAGCGTAAGCCGAATAAACCCTTTGCTCGCTGGGTTACTTTTTGGCCATGGTGTTTCCTCGCAGCAATAGTGACAACCCCAATGAAGACAACATCCTAACATAGTCTTGCTGTTTAATATCAAAGACAAGGGTTGGGAACGTTAGACTTGGAGGCTTACAGCAAAGCAGGGAAATGTCTGCTATAGGACCCAGATGCTATCTGATGACATTCGTAGCTTGGGGACAGTGAAAGTTAGTCTTCCGTTAAATTAATGTAATCCAAAGGTTTTACTTTATAATCACTAGGGCGCTGGATTAGATACAGAGGTGGGTAAGAGATGGCTATTTAGGGCTCTAAAGATAATCCTGGGATAATTTGGCTCTGCAATAGTCCACATTATTTTTTTAAGATTTTTTTTTAAAGATTTATTTATTATATAAACATTCTGCCACCATACCAGAAGAGGGCACCAGATCTCATTACAGATGGCTGTGAGCCCACGTGCTTGCTGGTAATTGAACCCAGGACTGCTGCCCAATGGTTCCGCTTCTTAAAGTCACAGTTTTCATCAGTCTCCAGTTCTATGGAATCATCAGTATAGCTGTGGCTTTTCCTGGGAACTTGAGTTCATACTAGAAAGCCTGCTTTTCTTGTAAATAAGAAAAGGCAATGCGTTGTTTGCTTTTTCTACTCTTTCCAATACAAGGCCTTTCTGTGTTCCCAACAGCCATGTGAGGAGGGAGGGCAGCCCCTTGTTTTCTGTTACCTCCCAGAGTGGACACACCAGACACTTGGCTTGGACCATGCCAGTGGAGACTGAGAGAGCAGTGACCCGGGGAAGCTGAGGTCACACAGAAGAGGCACCCACTTCAAAAGGTATCAGGGCTCCTTCATTCCCCAGACGGGTCCTGGTAACAAGCTCTCTTTCCTTGCTGCAGATTTTGCTGCTCTCGTTCCTGTGGGGAGCCTACTTCTCCTTACTGACCTCTTTCTCCCCGTCCTACATCTGGTTTGTCTTTCTGAGGACCATGGTAGGCTGTGGAGTGTCTGGCCATGCACAAGGGTAAGACTTGCTCCAGAGAGTGTGAGAGAGAAATGTGGATGCTTCAGGCAGGCACACACACACACACACACACACACACACACACACACGCACATACACACACTCACAAACACACACACTCACACACACATACTGTGCACACACACAGAGATAGAGGGAGAAAGACACATGCACACATTCACAGATACACAGAAGAAGACACACAAACATACACACTCATAGACAGCAGACACACGAGAGAAAAAAGAGAGACACAGAAACAGACGTACATGCATGCAGCCACAGACAGACAGACAGACAGACAGACACACACACATTCATGTGCACGTGACTATATTAAGTAGGTGAAGACCGGGGATGTAGCCCAGTGGCAGAGCTCTTGCCAAACATGGACAAGGTCTTGGGTTGAAGGTCAAGGCATGTGGCCTTACTTGCTGTGTCCTCCCATCCCTTCCCTTCCATGAACTTGCCTCGTATCAATACCTCTCCCCTGCAAAGGGTGAGAGATAGCTTACTCTTGGGCTAACCACAAGCAGCTGTGGACCCTTGTAGTGCCCAGAATAACCATCCATTACAAAGTGCCATTGCCCTTAGTTTAAAACCATACCCAGTGGCCTTGAGAGATGGCTCAGGGCTTAAGAGCATACACTGCCCAGTTCAAATCAGCTTCAGGGGAAGTTTGGTGCCTCTGGCCTGCTTGGGCACCTGCACACATCACATACACTCACATGCACATGTGTACACACATCCATACACTCACATGCACATGTGCACACACACACCAATACACTCACATGCACATGTGCACACACATCATATACACTCACATGCACATGTGCACACACATCACATACACTCAGATGCACATGTGCACACACATCACATACACTCAGATGCACATGTGCACACACATCACATACACTCACATGCACATGTGCACACACATCACATACACTTACATGCACATGTGCACACACACCAATACACACACATGCACATGTGCACACACATCACATATACTTGCATGCACATGTGCATACACACCAATGCACTCACATGCACATGTGCACACACATCACATACACTCAGATGCACATGTGCACACACATCACATACACTCACATGCATATGTGAACACACATCACATACACTCACATGCACGTGCGCGCACACACACCAATACACTCACATGCACATGTGCACACACTTCACATATACTTGCATGCACATGTGCATACACACCAATACACTCACATGCACATGTGCACACACATCACATACACTCAGATGCACATGTGCACACACATCACATACACTCACATGCACATGTGCACACACATCACATACACTCACATGCACGTGTGCGCACACACACCAATACACTCACGTGCACATGTGCACACACATCACATACACTCACATGCACATGTGCACACACATCACATACACTCACATGCACGTGTGTGCACACACACCAATACACTCACGTGCACATGTGCACACACATCACATACACTCACATGCACATGTGCACACACATCACATACACTCGCATGCACATGTGCACACACATCACATACACTTACATGCACATGTGCACACACACCAATACACTCACATGCACATGTGCACACACATCACATATACTTGCATGCACATGTGCACACACGCCAATACACTCAGATGCACATGTGCACACACATCACATACACTCAGATGCACATGTGCACACACATCACATACACTTACATGCACATGTGCACAAACATAGTTAAAAATGAAACTGAGAAAAGAAAAATGCTCAGATTTAAAAAATAAACAAAAACAAAACCCACACCAGAATGAATTTGCAAAGCAGAATGAGAAATACTGAAATAGAATTAATGCGTCTGCCTGTCTCCTGCGGGTCTCAATGTTGGGTGTGAGCGTTGCTGTGTTAATGTTCCTGCTACAGGGCCACCTCAAAATTCACAGAGCCCCTCAGGCTATTCCCTCCTGGGTGCCCTGAGGCACATTCTTCTTCAATCACGTTAGGAGATGTCAAAGCACCAGGCATCACCTTAATGCGCTGAAGACTGAAGATAGATGTTCTTCCCTGGGGAACTAGTGAAGTAGCTCACTGAACTGAGAGCCTGATAGGAGTAGGTGCTGAGAGAGCTTTAAAGTCTCCTGCAAGAAGCAGCCCAATAGATTCGTTAAAGAAAGACAAAGAAGTCCTAGCCCTGGCTAATATGCTAGCGGAGAACAACGTCAAAGCTGAGGATCTCACTCCATTTGTTCTTCTGTTTACATCATCTCTGCACACTTCCCTGGAAAGGCCCTGACTGTCACCAGTGAACACTCTGCCTTCCCTTGGGGGCAGTTCGATTTCTCGGGTATGTTTCACACCACAAAGGCATTAGATTTGACAAAGCCATTTTCCAAAGCTTCTCTTGGCCAAAGCAATAAGGCCAATGTCCCCGTGAGCCAGAGAGTTTAAAATGAATGTCAGAGCAGAGTGACCGGAGAGGAGCAATTGTGAGCCATTGTGAGTTCACTTCTCACTGTTTGTGGATGTGGAACGTCACCGTAACAATTATAGCTTAATATATGATGAACTCCTTTTTTAATTAAAAAATTAAATAAGATATAAAATAATATATAAAATTGGTTAGATTTACTTTATCTGCATGAGTGCTTTGCTGCATGCTTGTGTGTACGTATACCCTGAGGGTGCCTGGTGTCCACAGAGGTTAGAAAAGGCTGTCACATCCCCTGGAACTGGAATTATGGATGATTGTGAGTATTGTGTGGGTTCTGAGAGCCAAGCACAGGTCCCGTGCAAGAGCCACAAGCACTCTTAACTGCAGCCGTCTCTTAAGCCTCTCTTTATGCTTACAGTGTCTTTATTGAGGTGAAAATTTGTGACTGTTTATTAAATGTTAAAGGTCGTTTGGTTTTCTAAAAACAGAATCATTGTGTTTCCCCGCTCCCTGTGCAGGTTAATCATAAAGACCGAATTTTTGCCCACAAAATACCGAGGGTACATGCTGCCCTTGTCTCAGGTAAGGTGAAGGGGGAACTCTGGAGCCTGGTGCGCGTGAGAGGACGGGACACGTGGGTTTCCTTCAAGCCCGCTAATGGACTTGGGCTAGTACACTGCCTGTTATCTTAGCACCAACTAGGGAGCGTGAAACATGTCTGGTGCCACAGGTCCAGCAGGAAGGTGTTCTGAGCTGGGGACTTTTGCCACCCAGCCGTGATGCTCAAGACACCGTACCACCTTCCTCAAGAGCCAGGGTGTAGTCTAGTGGCTGGCTTCATTAGAATGACAGACACCCAAGAGAGCCTTTCTCACCTTACAAAGACTTCAGAGAAGGGAGACAGCTCCTACTTTTTCGGGGTACCCCATCTCTCTTCCAAGGACGCTGGTGTCTCCAGGTCCACACTGCCCTCACTTGGAGGAAAGTTCCAAGATTATGTCTTGATTGCTGCTGTTCCTCCAGGGTCCTCCTCCGACCCTGGCTGGCTGTTGACCAGAGGTTTTACATCCAGAATCTTTATCAATCTTGTTCCCCTGGACTGTTTTTATTCCCCAGACCTAAAAGTCCCAACTCTGGGGAATGTTCAGGAAAAAGATGACCCTTTCTACTAAGGTTTCATGTATTTGTCAATAAATAACCCAGGAGATTTGGTTTTTTGTAGTATGAGGAGCGGTAGGGCTGTGTCCCCAGCACCCGGCTGCTTGCATAGCTAGCTTTATACCCAAAATAATTACACGGAAACTGTATTCTTTTATATACTGCCTGGCCCATTAGTTCCAGCCTCTTATTGGCTAGCTCTTACATATTGATCTAACCCATTTCTAATATTCTGTGTAACTCCCAAGGTGGCTTACCAGGGAAGATCTTAACCTGCATCTGTCTGGAGTGGGAGAATCATGGCGACTCCCTGACTCAGCTTCTTTCTCCCAGCATTCTGTTCTGTTTACTCTGCCTACCTAATTTTATGTCCTATTAAAGGGCCAAGGCAGTCTCTTTATTTAACCAATGAAATTAACACAAAACAGCAGACTCTCCCCCATCAATTTTTATACATAATGTAGGCAACAATAACTGAAAAGAACCAGGAACACCCGATGGTGACTCCGCATTCTCTCCAGGCTTTGTCCTCAGCGATTCATGACCAGGAATGCATCTTAATTTTTACAGCATCTTACTTTATACCTCAGTACTAAGGGATCAGGGTTTTACTCTTTCATCTGTCTAGTGCCATGGCAGCCTTCCTCACATGCCCCTCCATGTCTATGTCTCCTTGGGTCATATAGTCAACTCCAGTGGCTGCCTATCTATATGGTCATCCCTTTGTGTCCTTGGGAGATTGGCTCTTGGATCCTAAAGGATACAAAAATCTCTGGAGGCTCAAGTCCCTTATAGAAAATGGTGTCAAGCCGGGCGATGGTGGCACACGCCTTTAATCCCAGCACTCGGGAGGCAGAGGCAGGCAGATCTCTGTGAGTTCGAGACCAGCCTGGTCTACAGAGCGAGTTCCAGGACAGGCTCCAAAGCCACAGAGAAACCCTGTCTCGAAAAACCAAAAAAAAAAAAAAAAAAGAAAGAAAAAAAAAGAAAAAGAAAAGAAAATGGTGTCATATTTCAGGTTTGTGTATACAACCATCTGTAACTCCAGTTCCAGGGGATCTGATACCTACTGACACCTTTGGGCACCAGATATGGTACACAGATATACACTCCAGATCCTGTGTACTTTAAATCATCAAGAGATGAGCTACCTAATCAATATTTTGTAGGTAGACAGTTGTCAAGCTCAGACTCTTTGTTTTTGAATACTGCTGATACCCAGTTGGCTGAAACCATGGATTTGAATTCATGGGTATGAATCCTGCAGATGGACAGCTCTACCTGTGTGTTCTTTCCATCTCTAAAAACATGTATAAAAAACCAAGAACGCCTCCTGAACCAAGATCCAGGTGGCCATTTACCTGAGAGTCACTAAAATGTCTTAGAGGGTCCTCAATGCCGCCTTCTTAGAACCCACCTCTCCACCTTCCCCTAGGACCTCTCATCTCCCTGTGTCTATCTCGGGTCATAACGAAGAGCTCACCTTTCTCCACCTGAGCTTGAATGCAGCAGCCACAGTGGACCCCACCCTTCCCCTCACCCTACCCGGTTGCCAGGCTGTGCTGGTTCACCCCAGTTCACGGACCCATGGTGCAAGTGTCCATCAATAAGCTCTGTCACCTTCAAAGACGTGTGACCAGTGCATTTAGAAAAATCCTTTGTTCTATTATTACTGAGATGCATCCCACTGCCACATCAACTGTCGCTTGCCCTTACACAGTAGCTATATCTATTGACTCTTTAGAGAAGTTGTCCCTTGTCACTTAAGCCATTCTCCATACATTATTCTATTTTCTTTGTGGCCCTGTCACTTTCTTAAGTAATCAAATTTTGGTGTAATTATCTTTGATAAGATAATCAACGCTTGGGGCTGGAGAGACGGCTTGGTGGTTAAAAGCACTGGCTGTTCTACAACATATGGGTTCCATTCCCAGCACCCACACTTACAATCTCTGTCACTCCAGCTCCAGGTGATCTGACACCTGCTGGCCTTCTTGGGCACCAGGTATGGTACACAAACATATATTCATGGAAAACACTCATGCAAATAAAATAACAAATACTTTTTTTTTAAAGAAGCCCCTCAGTTGGGCAGTAGAGGCGCACACCTTTAATTCCAGCACTTGGGAGGCAGAGGCAGGCGAATCTCTGAGTTTGAGACCAGCCTGGTCTACAAGAGCTAGTCCCAGGTTCCAAAATTATAGTGAAACCCTGTCTCAAAAAAAAAAAAATCCCTCAATTAGCTCCACAAAGGATCTTTTAAATGCTGCCTCTTTCCATCTCTCTGACATGGAGTGACCAATTGTCTTAGGTGAGTAGGAGTATTTGGGCGAAATGGGGTGGTTCTACTAATTATTCTTTTTCGTTTCGTTTTTTTTTTTTTTTTTTTTTTTGAGACTGGGTTTCTCTGTATAACAGTCCTGGCTGTCCTGGAACTCACTTTGTAGAGCAGGCTGGCCTCAAACCCACAGAGATCAGCCTGCCCCTGCCCCTAGAGTACTGGAATTAAAGGGGTGTGCTACCACCTCCAGGCATCTAGTAATAATTCTCGACCCTCAGGGCCCATGTTACTTGATATCAAACCCGAAAGCATAAAAAGCAAAAGTGTGAAGCACCATGTATACTATGGGCTGTTTTTGAAAATGGAGTGTCTGAAGGAGCTTTGGTGATAAACAGTAGGCCTTGTCAGTTCCTCTGAGAAAAGGAGCTGGTGGCAGAGACCTGGGAGAAGAGAGCAGTCTGCATTATCTGTGTAAGAAAGAAAAAAAAAAACAAACAACAAACCTCTAGGGCATTAGACTGGATTTTGTTTGAAACTCTAGTGATATCGCTGCTGGGTTCTCTGTCCTAAGGTGGAGCAAACAGTTTACACACACAACTGAGCTCTGAAGTAGAGTGACTCGGCAGCTCCTCAGGTCGGAGCGGCTATCCTGGGAGTAGAATCCAACTCGATAGTCACTCCTCAGAACTCTCACCTTGCCCACATACAGTACAAAAGAACGGGTTCAAGGCTCCGGGGAAGAGAGAAACGGCACAGAGACAGGACCGAAGGAATTGTCATGTTTCAAGTCTTTCTTCCCAGGTTTTCTGGCTTGCTGGCTCCCTACTCATCATCGGCATGGCTTCTGTGGTCATCCCCACCATTGGGTGGCGTTGGCTCATCCGGATTGCCTCCATCCCTGGCATCATCCTCATCATGGCCTTCAAGGTGATGCTTTTGAAACTGCCTCTATGCTCCCTTTCTGCTGGACCACTGACCTCTTTTCTCCACAAATGTATTTATGGTAGTTTCTTTTCCTAAAAATGATTTATAAGTACTGTTTTTAATCGTGTATGTGTCTGTATGTGGGTATGTGTGTATCAGTGTGTCCAGTCCTTTGGAGCTGGAGTAACAGTAAGTTGTGGGGATGTATGTAGCTCGGTTCGTTGAGTGCTTGCCTAGCATACTTGAAGCTGCCCTGGTCATTAGCCCAGCATAAACTGGGTGTGGTAACACATCCTCATTGTAATCCTGGTACTCAGGAGAAGAGGCAGAAAGATCAGAAGTTCAAGGTCATCCTCAGGTCATCTTAGGATACCTGAGAAAAAGGAAGGGAAGGAGGAGGTGAGGAGAGTAAGAACAGAGGCAAGAAGAGGGTAGAGGGAGAGGAGAGATAGAGATGGGGCAGAGACGTAGAGGTTCCTGCATGGTCATTTATTCCAAACCTGAAGCCCATTTGGGTCTCCTCAGGAATGTAACCAGCTTTAGAAAGCCTGTGGCTAGGCCATGGAGGTCCGTCTTCTTACCTGGCATCTTTTAAAATTGTTTTATTTTATTTTTTGAGACAGAGTTTCTATGTATAGCTCTGACTGTCCTGGAACTTTCACTATGTAGACCATACTGGCTGTAAACTTGGAGATCTGTCTGCTTCTGCCTCCCGAGTGCTAACTGGGATTAAAGGCATGTGTCCCCCTTGCCCAGTTTAAAGCATTTTTAAAGGATACATAATCCCAAGCCTTTCCTATTCCACAGTAAAAGAAACCATGGCCTCCACATCCTTCCCATGGCTGGTTCCACAGTCAGGCCCCTTCTCTCCTCTGTACAAGCTCAGAGGATCATTGTTTTCAGTTTTGTTGCTTGGAATCACCCCTTCCCCATCCCTGGCCCCTGAGAGTTTGGGGTTGTGGCTCAGTGGTGTAATGCATCCCTCACTTGCACAAGGGCCTTGGGTTCAATTCCCACTATGCACCCCCACCACACATACACCAGGAATCACACCCAGACCCCTCAGCTGCTCTGGGACCAGTGACTTCCAGTCCTGTTGCTTCCTGTGGGAAGACTCCTGCCTCTGTGTTTGTAGACTGAAGACTTCACTGCATTCTCGGCCAACTGCATCCCACCATTGGGTGTTCTTAAGGCCTAGGTTAAGTGCTGCCTGGAATTTGTTGTATATGAATTGCTTTCAAGCCCAGAATCCAAGACCTGCCATTGTATAACTGATGTATCTGTTAAAAAAAAAAACAACCCAAAACAAAACAAGAAAACATATATTCTAGCCAGGCAGCAGTGGTGCACACCTTTAATTCCAGGCTTGGGAGGCAGAGGCAGGCAGATCTCTGTGAGTTTGAGGCCAGCCTGGTCTACAAGAGCTAGTTCCAGGACAGGCTCCAAAGCTACAGAGAAACCCTGTCTCGAAAAAAAAAAATCTAAAATCTATATTCTATTCAGATATCTAAAGTGGGTCCTTTGGTTTTAGTCCAGACTCTCATGGTCCCTAGATTTCCCTCCCTAGAGGCAAATTTCCAAATCAGCACTGAATTTATCAGAACACCTGTTGGATACCTTCAAGATTGTCACCCCTTCTGGGTGTGGAGGCAGTCAGAAGGCCTGCAGTAGCAACAACAGCACCCAACAGCACCTTGTCAGCCTATGGTACCTGCAGCTCTGATGTCCTTTATAATCTGTGCCCAGTTTATCCCTGAATCTGCGCGCTTCAACGTCTCCACCGGAAACACGCAGGCTGCACTGGACACGCTAGAGAGCATCGCCAAGATGAACCGTTCAGTCATGCCGGAGGGACAGCTCGTGGAGCCCATTCTGGTGAGTGCACAAGTGGTTGATCGCCCACCAGTAGTCCAGAAGGAAGGGGACCAGGGCTCTTTGAAAGAGCAGAGTAGAGGCGGGGCTTGATCTAGTTCCTCACTGCCATATAGCCTTGCAATACTGGTCTACCTGACTTCTTTTTGTCATCTGTGAAACATAAATAATACTTCTTATTTTGCAGAACTAATCACATCACTTGCCTTCGTGGTTATAATATGAATTTTTAAAAATATCTTTATGGTTTATTTAACTTTATTTTATGTGCATTGGTGTAAAGGTGTCAGATCCTCTGCAAATGGATCTTCAGACAGTTGTGAGCTGCCATGTGGGTGCTGAGAATTGAACCCAGGTCCTCTGGAAGAGCAGCCAGTGCTCTTAACCACTGAGCCATCTCTCCAGCCCATGATTTTTATTAATAATCATTTTATTTGTTTTTTGTATTGGCTTTGTCTCATTTTGATAAGGTTATTTCCATAAAGCCTGCTTCAATTTTGGAGGCTATCTTTTTGTTTTTGTTTTGTCTCAAGACAGGGTTTCTCTTTGTAGCCCTGTCATTCTATAGACTAGGTTTCCCTTGAATTTACAGAGATCCGCCTGCCCCCTGAGGGCTGGGATTAAAGGCATGCGCCACCACTGCCTATTTGGTTTCTGCACATTATTGCATGGTTCACATATTTTGTTGATGGATTAGTTTTATTGCTTGAAGTATTTTTTTTTTTGTTTTTTTGAGATAGGGTGATCCTGTATAAGAGCCCTGGCTGTCCTGGAACTCACTTTGTAGACCAGGTTGCCCTCGAACTCACAGAGATCCACCTGTCTCTGCCTCCGGAATTCTGGGATTAAAGGCGTGTGCCACCGCTGCCCAGCCACTTGAAGTATTTTGTAGCATTTATTTAGGCGTATGTTTGTGGGTATGGGTGTGGATGTGCATGGCACAGCATGCCTGTGGAGGTCAGAGAACAATTTGTGGGTACCAGTTTTTTCTTCTACTTTGTGGGCTCTAGAAATTGAATGTGTACTGGGTGGTGCTGGCACACACCTTTAATCCCAGCACTGGGTAGGCAGAGGCAGGCAGATCTCTGTGAGTTCAAGGCCAGCCTGGTCTACAGAGTGAGTTCCAGGACTGGCTCCATAGCCACTGTCTGGTGTGGAGGGGGAGGAGGGGGAAATGTTATATTTGGCTCAGTCTCAGAGGCTGCAGTCAGTAGCCAGGGGCATCATTGTTTTGGGCCGGTGACGGCAGAGTGTCATGGTGTAAGGGCATGTTGGAGCAGAACTGCCCACTCTGTGGTAGCTGAGAAGCAAAGACTGATAAAGTGGGGTCAGGGACAAATGGGCCCCTCTCCTGAAAGTTTTCATCCGTGTCCAAATGCCCTCTACTTGTGGCTACTTCTGTGGATTAATTATCAGCTAAGCAGGGCACTTATGATCAAGTCGGTTTTAAGTGACTGATTCCACCAGCCAGGACCAGTTTTTTAAAAAAATATTCTGTATATTTGGGTGTTTTGCTTCCATATGTCTGAGCTTCACACATGGGAAGTGTCTGCCAGAGGCCAGAAGAGGATGTTGGATTCCCTGTATGGATGGTTGTGAGTTGCCTTGTGGGTGCTGGGATCCACCTGATCCTCTGCCAGAATAGGCAGTGCTCTTAACCAGGGAGCTGTTCTTTGACCCCTAGGTCGTCATGATTTTAGACATCAGCCTTTTGGATTGGCCAAGGGGAGGAGAGGTTGCTTCATAACTGAGCCACACAGGATGATCTCACCACCTTGTATCCTCGGGCACCATCAGGAATGTCACAGAAATATGTCCTTACCCCTCCATGTGTGTTCTGTCCCCTGCTTTTCATTCTCCTAGGAGAAAAGAGGAAGGTTTGCAGATCTACTGGATTCTAAATATCTTCGGACCACATTACAGATCTGGGTCATATGGTAAGAACATAATTACTGCAAGACAGATGTTAGATAAGCAGGTATTTGAAGGAGACCCACTCAAGGAGAGTAGCCCTACAAATACACCTTGTTTTTCACGTTGCCTCTTGTGATTTCTGTTATCCATTGTCAATCAAAGTTGAAAATTGTATTTGTATTGACTTCTTCAACAGAAAGACCACATTTGCATGTAACTTTTATGGCATGTTGTAAATTGCTTTATTTTGTTGAGTCTGTATAGGAACTTACATGGGAGGCATGATATGATCTGTGTGGATCTTCTATGGATGAAGAGGGACCACTGTAAATCCACTCTTGGGGTATTAGAGAGAAATATAGGAAGTCACCAATAGTTCCTCCTGCAACGCCTTCTCTTTCTAATGCTACCCACTCTACCTTCCTCCCCGAAATGATAAAACTGTAAAGGGAGAAAGAGAACCTTAACATTCTACAGCAGTTTCCCAGTTCTTTCCAGTGACGTGGCTACATGTCCTGGACTTCCGTAGGGTGTGCTTTCTGCTTACCCTACAATGGACAGATCCTTTGAACTCACCAATGACAGGCTCGGTGGCACAGCCTTTTCAGGGCCTCTCTGGGCTTCATCTCTTTGCAGCTTTAACCTTGAGTGAGCAAGTGCATCCAGAATAGGACTAAAAAAACAGTACTTGATATACCGGGAAGGACTGATGGATTTTATAACATTAGTGTCTCTGGAGCCAGGCTTGGTGGCACATTCCTACGTCAGCAGAGTTCAGGGTCATCTATTGCTACCGGTTTGAGGCCAGCCTAGGCTACACGGAACCCTGTCTCAAACAAAAATTAATGTCTCTGCGCCATATAATATCAGGAGAAGCCTAAATAGCAAGCTATCATTTAAGAGAAGAAATTTGAAATATATATGCATATATATACACATGCATATATCACATTTTTGATATATATGTATAGTGCAGTATATAATATACATATAAAACACATGCTATATATAATTGTCTTTCAGCAGTTAAGATAGGTAATCCAGTTTAAAATTTATTTTTATTTTTTTAATTGATGTGTATGTGTGTATTTCTCTAGACTTCATGTGTGAGCAGTTGCCTGAAGAGGGTGTCAGATCCTCTTTCAGAGGACCCCAATTTAGTTCCTAGCAACCACGTGGTGGCTCACAACCATTTAACTCCAGCTCCAGGGAATCCAAACTCTCTTCTTGCTTCTACATACACATGGTGCACATATATGCACGCAGGCAAAACACAAATAGAATCAAAATCAATCAATCAATCTTTTAAAAGACTGGGTTTGCAAGGATGCAGAGAAATACACACACACACACACACACACACACACACACACACATTTCTCCAAAGTTGTCTTCAGATGCCTGGATGCTGTGTGGGCTGATTTCTGTTGCTCTTGCCCTATGCCTTCCACATAGATCGTTCTCCTTACCTCTGCCTGTCATGGTTCTTCCTGTCCCCCAAGCTTGGTGAAAACTTTTACTGATGACATTCTTTTTTATTTTTATTTTGTGTTTTTTCAAGACAGGGTTTCACTGCGTGGCCCTGGCTCTCCTGGAACTTATTCTGTAGGCCAGGCTGACCTCAGACTCCAAGATCCGCCTGCCTCTGCCTCTCCAGTGCTGAGATACTCTCTTCTCCTTCCAGGTTGGGAATTTCTTTCGCCTACTATGGGGTTATCCTGGCCAGCGCAGAGTTGCTGGAGCGGGATCTGGTCTGTGGTTCGAAGTCGGAGTCAGACCCAGAGGTGGTGGTGACCACGGGGGACTCAGAGGAGAGTCTCAGCCCCTGCTATTGCCACCTGTTTGCACCCTCTGACTACAGGACCATGATCATCAGCACACTTGGGGAAATTGCTTGTAAGATCGCCCGCCCAACTTTCCCGTTTCAGGCAGGGTTCCTGCAGCTCAGGGTCAAAGGGAAGTGTGACCTTGAGGCGAGGCTCCTGTCCAGTAGAACTCCAAGGGTCTTCAGATCATGCTGCTACACCCCCAGTTTGGGTTGTTGTGGGGAGGAAAACCGGAAAGAGCAAAGCCTTGAACTGTTCCGTTTCAGCAGTACATTTTAGTCTAGGGTGGTGCGCACCTTTAATCCCAGTGCTCAGGTAGCAGAGGCAGGTGGACCTCTGTGAATCCTAGGCCAGCCTGACCTATATAATGAGTTCTAAGACAGCCAGTGCTACATCCATAGTTTAGCCCCTATCTCAAATGAAAAGATATATTTATTTTTGAGATAATTCTCTTTCCACCCCCAAACTCACACACTCAAATTCATGACCTTTTTAAAAATGTTTATTTTTTTAACAGCAGACTTCCTTTCTCCCATAGCTCTTACAGCCCTTCTGCCCTCCTCCACAGTGACCTCTGAACCTTAGGTACAGGAGTTGTTTTATAGATGCAGCTGGTAGGGACTTATATTCCACCTCAAGGGCAACAATATAGCCTATAATGTATTATCGTTGGATCCAATTTTTCTATGCTCTGATCTTTTTTTTTTTTTTTTTTTGGTTTTTCGAGACAGGGTTTCTTTGTGGTTTTTGGAGCCTGTCCTGGAACTAGCTCTTGTAGACCAGGCTGGTCTCGAACTCACAGAGATCCGCCTGCCTCTGCCTCCCGAGTGCTGGGATTAAAGGCGTGCGCCACCACCGCCCGGCTTTCTGATCTGTTTTGTATGACTTGATAGTCTCCTGTATGATCCTGACCAACCGTTCAAAAGAGAGTTCCTCCTGCCTGGTGTTGGGGTTTTGGTTAGATAGTTTTGGAAAGCATCGTCAGCCCAGATGGGGACACTTGATTTAAACTATATCTGGAAATTTATGCATCAACTTACATGTAACATGTATTATAGGTATTTTTAGGTAGATAGATAATAGTATGTCTTTTATGACTTTTTCAGATATTATTACTGTATTTCACTCTCTTCTTTCATCCTGTATTTACTATCCTTCCTCTCTCTAATTATTTCGTTTTAATGTGTTTTTAGACATCATTATTATTATTTTAATTTTCGAGACAGGGTTTCTTTGTGTAGCCCTGACTGCCCTAGAACTCACTTTGTAAACCAAGCAGGTCTTGAACTCACAGAGATCTACCTGCCTCTGACTTGGGAGTGCTGGGATTAAAGGCGTGCGCCACCACCGCCCGGCTAGATATTTGTTTTATGTGTATGACTATTTTGCATGACTGTGTGTGTGTGTGTGTGTGCACCCTGTGTATGCCTGGTGCCCTCCTCCTAGGTGAGAAGAGGGTGTCTGAGCCTCTGTAGCTGGAGTTATTAGTAGTTGTGTGCCACCATGTGGACGGGTGCTGGGACTAGAATCCAGGTCACCCTCTGCCAGAGCAAGTGCTTTCAACTGCCGAGCCATCCTCAGCCTGTCTCCCTAATCAGTCGGCCCCTGCTGCGCTTTCTCATTTCCCCTTCAGATCCCTTGTAATTCCTTCTCTATCGTTCCCCCCACCTCCACAATAGCTGTTTTTTGTTTTTGTTGTTGTTGTTTTTGCTTTCCTGGTTTCTGCCGTTTCTTCAGGTTATATACTGACATCTGATGGTTTGGAGCTGGGAACCTCAGATGAGAGGGAGCATGGATGTTTGTCTTCCTGGGTCTGGTCGCCTCACTCTGTGCTCTTTCCTAGTTCCATCCACTGACCTGGATAAACCCTGGAGCAGGGTGTCCAAACACATAGTAACTAAAATGGGCACATCTTACAATGACTTGTTAGATTTCAATTGGCTGTACTGTTTTTTTGTTTTTTGTTTTCTCCCAACAAAAATGATGGCCCATTAAAAAAAAAAAAAGCCAGTGTGACTGGGGATGTGGCAGAGTTGTTTAAATCCCCTGGTCTGTGTGAACTGGGTGTGGGGGTGTGGTGTGTGCCTGTAATCCCAGTGCTCAGAAAGTGGATGCAAGAGGATCAGAAATTCAAGGTCAGCCTTAGCTGAATTTGAGGTCAGGGATATAGGAGACCCTGTCTCAAAAATTAAATAAATAATACTATAAAATAAAAAATAAAGAAAATGAATCAAAGGGCCAAGGCCAATTGGCACAAGCTTACATAGTGAGAATCTCTCAAACACAAACAAAAAAAATCAGTGGAGCCTTGAATTCAACGGACAATGGTATATGGCATTTAGTTCTAGCAAACTAGTAGTTTGCAAAGTGGTAGAGAAAGCAATGAAATAAAGCTAGGCATGGTGGCGCATGCCTATAATCCCAGCGCTTGGAGGCAGAGGCAGGAGGATCTCTATGAGTATGAGGCCAGCCTGGTCTACAAAGTGAGTTCTAGGACAGTCAGGACTGCGAAGAGAGACCCCATATCAAAACCTTAAAACGTAGAAAGGCCTTAATGTTTAAGCAGTGTTAGTCGCTCATGAGGAAGAAGCACATTCAAGAAGTCACAGATCCCATGACAGTGTGCCTGGTTCAGGACGGGAGCTGCTTCCTTAGGGAATGGCAGGAGGGGTCCTGCTGGGGTCTACGGTATCACTTGTGCTCCAAGTGTCACCACTGTGGTTGTTGTTTGCTTCCTAGTGAACCCTTTAAACATCCTGGGCATCAACTTCCTGGGCAGACGGCGGAGCCTGTCCATCACCATGGGATGCACGGCTTTGTTCTTTCTTCTCCTCAATATCTGCACTTCAAGGTACTCACCCTTTGCCTGCTTCCACACGGCTGTGCAGTGGTTATCAGATGGGACTTCCTGAGTCCTGGGGATGAGTGGAGAGTAGAGGCCGTCCATTAGACCGAGAGGCCTTTCCCTCTCCTCCCCCCTGCCCTGCCTCCCTCAGCTGTCAGGAGATGTGGCTAAGTACCAGGATGCTCACTTTATACAGAACTTGTTGGAGAACTAGAAAGCAGCCGTAGGGTTTTTGTTTTCTGGACCAACATGAGCTATTCTGGTGATACAGACGACATGTATCTGAAGGCTGAGAAAGTCATTCTGTGGTGGAGGACTTGCCTCAGATAACAAGTCTCATCTCCCATGGCAACCCTGCAGTACTCGGAGCAATGATATGGCTGACTCTTGAGCTGTTGAGTTCTACACTCACAGGCCATCTAAGCACAGAGTAAAATTTAGAAAAGGTTTTATCCCAGACAATGAAAACAAACTGCATCTGTATAGAGCATGCGGTGCTGACTAGTTTCATGTCAACTGGACACAAGCTAGAGTCATCTGAAAGGAGGGACCCTCAGTTGAGATAATGCCTCTGTAAGATCTGGCTGTAGGGTATTTTCTTCTTTTTTTTTTTTAATATTTATTTATTTATTATGTATACAATAGTCTGTCTGTGTGTATGCCTGAAGGCCAGCAGAGGGCACCAGACCCCATTACAGATGGTTGTGAGCCACCATGTGGTTGCTGGGAATTGAACTCAGGACCTTTGGAAGAGCAGGCAATGCTCTTAACCACTGAGCCATCTCTCCAGCCCCTCTTCTTTTTTAAATAGTTTTATGTTTTATTATAAAATGAATGCATATTTTGAATCCTAATATTTATTATATTGATATTTTATAAATAATTTAGACTTAAAATTACTCAGATAGGGTATTTTCTTAATTAGTGATTGATGTGGGAGGGTCTAGGCCATTATGAGTAGTGCCATCCCGGGACTGGCAGTCTTGAGTTCTATAAGAAAGCAGGCTGAGCAAGTTGCACTCCTCCATGGCCTCTGCATCAGCTCCTGCATGCAGGTTCCTGTTTCGTTTGAGTTCCTGTCCTGACTTCCTTTGGTGACGGACTACCATGTAGAAGTGTAAGCCAAATAAACTGTTTCTTCCCCATGTTGCTCTGGTCATGGGCATTTCATCACAGCAATAGAAACCCCAAGACAGCTGGGCGGTGGTGGTGCACACCTTTAATCCCAACACTCGGGAGCCAGAGGCAGGCAGATATCTGTGAGTTTGAGACCAGCCTGGTCTACAAGAGCTAGTTCCAGGACAGGCTCCAAAGCTAAAGAGAAACCCTATCTTGAAAAAAAAAATTACTAGATTGCCTACAATCCCTAGCAAAAAGTAAATGCAGCGGTAAACAGTTGTTTGATGTTGAAGGAGCAATAACACACAGAAAATAAGAGGTTGTGTGGTACCCAGCTCCAACTGACCCATTACAACACAATTTCTGGGGCTCACTGTGGAAGAGGAGTCAGGAAGATCGCAGAGAGTTTGCTGTGAGTGTCTCCTAGAAATGCCAGGGTGGCTGTACCCAAAGGCATGCACTACCACCGCCCAGCCAATCTAGTGCTTTAAAGAGATGGCTCAGCAGATAAGACCATTTGCTGCTCTTGTAGAGGATCCACACTGGGTTGCCAGTGCCTTCAGGATGCTTCACCACCACCTGATTCTCATTCCAGGGGAGCCGATGCCCTGTCCTGACCTCCTAGGCACACACATGGTACAATATGTACATATAGGCTAAGGAATCATACTCATAAAATACCTTTTCCAACGCATGTGCCCGTCTGGGAGCATCGGGTCTGAATGCCCCCCCACCCCTTAGGTGGATTGTGAGGAAACAGGCTTGAGGATGTCATGGTCAGGCCAGTTAAGAAGCAGCATCTTGCCGAGGCTCTGGGCTTTGTGAAGGGCCTTCTGTGTCTCTGACTACGACCTCCTCTGCTTCCTCCTCAGTGCCGGCCTCATTGGCTTCCTCTTCATGCTGAGAGCCCTGGTAGCAGCGAACTTCAACACCATCTACATTTACACTGCTGAGGTGAGCAGCGGGGAAGGGCATGGCTACATCAGGGCACGTCAGGGGAGCTGCCAATCTGTGGGGAATGCATCCCTAACTTTGGTCAACCTTTGACAAGTTGCTTAAACGGTGAAATTCGTTGAAAACGACACGAGAGAGCTTGATATGGATCTTTCCTTTCCCATATAGTCTCTGAAAGAGAGGGCCTCCTGCCTCTCAAGTGAAAGCAGGTCGTTAGTCTAACTTGTCACTGTACAAAAGCCCGAAATAACTTAGGGAAGGGAAGAGCTATCTTAGTTCGGCTTCAGTCGTTCTGGTCCATGACTGGCTGGCTTACCTCTGGTCTGTGGCGGAGGCACCATGGTCCAAGGGTTTGGGAGAGAAAAGCTGGCCACCACGCAGCAGTCAGGAAGCAAAGACGGACCAAGAAGGAACCTGGGCTAAGATCCACGCTCAAAAGCACATGCCCAGCGACCACTTCCTCTAACCAGGCTTCGAAGTTCTTCCTTCCAATAGTCCATTTAAATGGTTAAACAATTGGTTAGGGTGTTTCTCATCTTTCCACCCTTTACTAAGGGAAACAGCTCTCAATCCAAATATGTTGACGTCAAAATTAACCACCATGGGGCTGGTGGGATGGCTCCTTGAGGAAAGGCACTTGCTGCCCAACACGACATTCTGAGTGGAATCCCCGAGATTCACATGGAAGGACAGTTCCGGCTCCTGCAAGTTGTCCTCTGACGTCTACACATGCACCATGACATGCATGCATAACCCCCGCCATACATACACAGGAGAAATGGAGAAATGTAACTTTTTAAAATTCAAAACTAGATACCGAAGACAATGAGCATCTTCTACCCATCTACAAACACAGAAGCCTGAACTAGGGAGGGAAGAGAGGAAGAGAACCCTGGGAAGAAACGTGACCAATGGTGTTCTCTATGCCTCTCCTCCGCAGGTCTACCCTACTCAGATGCGCGCTCTGGGGATGGGAACCAGCGGTTCCCTGTGCCGCATTGGAGCGATGGTGGCACCATTTATATCCCAGGTACCCAGAAGCGTATGCGGGGCCACTGAACCGGAGAGGGTGGGCAACAGGGACCCCAGAAAGGGTATAACAAGGGTTTCTACTTTATTCGGGACATGAATATTTAACAGCCTATAGACTTTGATTCAGAGTTAAACCTTTTGCTGGGCTTGTCAGCCAGGATGGACTATGGGAAAACACGAGAGTACCAGGATTCGCGTGGGGTGGGGATGGGGTGAGGAGTCGGGGGTAGAACAGTACGGCAGAGCCTAGACATGGGGAGGTGGGGCTGGCTCAAAGTCTGGAACAGTCTGGGACACGGGGGACCTGGCACCATGTGACAAGAAACGGAGAACCCAGGCTAATGCAGCGGCCCACAGGGTCATGGAGGGGTCTACTGTTTGTCCTCTGCTCTGCTCATCCTTTTGGCCACAACAGAACTCTGCCTTGTTCTTCCTGCTATAGAAATAGGAAATGGGCCTTGGGTCCTGTAGTGCCTCATCGGCTGTGGGAACCTAGGAGGAAACCAGGCCCTGTCCGGTTTTTCTGGGGCCTGAGATCACCACCTGACCCCCTGCCGCCCCCACACCCACCATGCAGGCTCTATCTGCTCCCTGTGTATGGGGCATTCTCAAGAGTCCTAAACATGACTTTGGCATTGCCCTGGAGTTGGTTGGTCTATGTCTGAGTCACATGATCAGGGGTCAGAGCTTCAAACAGTTCCATCTGAGGGCAGGGAAGGGGGGCACTTCCCAGGGAAAACAGTCATATGGGCAAAGTAGATGCTTCCTATATTTTAACAGAAAAATTTTGGGGGGGGGTTACAAAGGGTTTTTATTGTTTGTTTGATTTTTGTTTTTGTTTTCAAAACAGGGCTTCTCTGTATAGCCCTGGATGCCCTGGAACTTGCTTTGTAGACCAGGCTGGCCTCGAACTCACGGAGATCTGCCTGTCTCTGTCTCCCCAGTGCTGGTGTTAAATGTGTGTGCCATCAACTGCCCCGCATTATGAGTTTTTAAAAACTCTCTTGAAAGTGTTTCTTGTCTTATAAATGGTGCTACTTTTGTCTTGAATTGTTGCTTTTTAAAATTCCTTTTTATGCTGGGCAGTGGTAGAATCAGAGGCAGGTGGGTTTCTGTGAGTTCAAGGCTATCCTGGTCTATAGAGTGAGTTCTAGGATAGGCTCCAAAACTACACAGGAAAACCCTGTCTCGAAAAAAAAAATTCCACCTATTTCATCCATCTCAGAGAAGAGCCTACCAGGGAAAAAGGGAAGTAAAACACCCACCCTGTCCCTTGTAAGCAGACAGAGACTAGGTTTCTCTTCCCAGCACTGTGGGGATGGAGTCTCTGGGTTCTTAGTTCCCTGTGCCTATTCACCCTAGGGACATGGGACTATTTATGTGACAGGCCACATTGCTTCTAGGGGCCTTGGCAATGGTTAGAAAAGATCACAATTTGGGCCGAGTCCTGAGGGTTCTGTTCTGCTTGACATCCTGGGCACAAAGTGGCTCCTGACTCTGGGTGGCTTCGCTCATCCTTCCTGTGCCTCCCATGTTCTAAAACAGAGACAAATAAGAGCACATTTGCATAGGTTTGTTGGGATGATGAGACCATTTAAATGCAAAGCATCGAGACACACACACACACACACACCCCACACACACGACACAGCATTTGAGAGACATTATGTAATGATGCTAATCAAGGCCAAATGCAACTCAGATAAATATGTCTTGTTAAGAAAATACTTTTGTGACCACCGACGAATCCTTTATTGTTAAAGCAAATAGTGGCTGCAAAGGTTGAATAGACTAGACAAGATGAGCTCTGAGCATGGAGGCCCAGGAGACAGTACTCTTACTGCCCGGAACGCCATCTGTAATGGCCACACAGATACCAGTGTCAGCTTCCCAAGACAGATCTGTTGGCAGAGAAGCATGAAGACCACCGCTTCTTTTGGGTTCTTTCCTGTGTCGTGAAAGCACAGATCTGTGTGCATCCTTCACTGTCTTCGTACGGAGTGATTTTCCTGGCGAGGAAATACTTTAATTCTCCTCATGCTATAGAGCCTCAACAACATGTACACTGCTGGGTTTGGGTACTGGAACTAGCTTCGACTACCTTGTGTTCATTATTTTTATTTTTTTGCCTTTAATGAACTATGGTGGGGAAGGGAATGAGGAGAAGGAGGGGACACGAAAATAAGAGAAACAAAAGCACTTTAAATCGAGCCCAGTACAATGAGCTTTGTGTGTGTGCTTTGCTCCCTTAACCAGTCTGAATCAGGAGAATTTAAGTCTGGGAAGCTTCACGCCCACTCCTACAGCATTGCCTAGATTCTCACAGAATGAGCTGTTTCAAGGCTTTCCTTGAAATCTTAGGTGATAGCTGTCGATCTTAGTGCTTATCAAGATTACTAGGGTAGCATTGTAATGTAGACATTCCTGGGCTTTGCCCAGAGATGCAGAAGGTAGAGATGGGACCCACTACCTGCACTTGTAAGAACCCACAGCTGAGTCAGCTGCTCTGTGAGCCGTCCTGAGAGAGGCGGTCCCGTCCACTGGGAGGGTGCTGATTAGGAGCTGCTTTGCCTTTCACCCAGTTCTTTCTCTTCTGATTTCCTACAACTGGAATGAGTTTAAGTGAGAACTTTACAGGAGGACTAGAGGCATAGTCCTGTTTAGAATGCTTGCTGCTCTTTGGAGTTCAGACCCAACATCCATATCAGATGGCTGACAACTCTGTAATCACAGCTATGTGATACCTGGTGCCCTCTTTTGGACACCTCTGGTACTGCACACATAAAGTACCCCCTCGCCCCCCACCCATGCACACACACATAAAATAAAGGTGTTTTAAAAACAAACCCCATATACATTAGTTAGTAATGTGTTTACATAATCCAAAGACTAATGTATAAAGTTTAATTCAATTGAATATTTTTTTTTTTTCAAGACAAGGTTTCTCTGTGGAACAGCTCTGGCTGTCCTGGAATTCATTCTGTACACCAGGCTGGTCTCAAACTCACAGATTCACCTGCCTCTGCCTCCCAACTGCTGGGATTAAAGGCGTGTGCCACCACCACTACAGGCCTGTTTTGTTTAAGTGCATTATTTAAATCAAATGTTTTGAAGTATCTAGTTGTTAAGAAATTAACTTAAATAAAAATAAAATCTGGGTGTATATAGTCCAAGCAAACAAAAAAGGAGACTTTTGTTACAGAATTTTTAAAGGCTTGCCAAAGTGCTTCTGTAGAGCTAGTTCAGGGACTATTCTCCTTTATTCCAGAATGCATTAGGAGTCAGGTGTCCAGGTGTTCATGCACTTGTAACAATGCACCATAGACTGAGGAGCTAGGGGTGTAGTTCAGTCGGAGAGAGTCTGCCTAGTAAGCCAAGAAGGCCTGTATTCCAGGCCCTGCAAACTCAGCACTTTGGAAGGCGGAGGTAGGAGGGTCAGAAGTTCAAGGTCATCCTCACCTACTTAGTAAATTTGGAGCCAGTGTGGGCTATGTGAGACCCTGAGTTAAATACAAAAAGGAAAGACATCACAGACTGAGTAGCCTATAAATAACAGAAATTTCTAACAGTTCTGTGGACTGGAAGTTCAAAATCAGGTGCCTGTATGATTGGGTTCTGGTGAGGGCCCTCTGCCTAGCCAGCACATGGTCACCTTCTCATTGTATCTTCACTCAGGAAAGGCCTGGTGTGGTCTGTTTTTTGAAAAATATTTATTTATTTATTTATTATGTATACAATATTCTGTCTGTGTGTATGCCTACAGGCCAGAAGAGGGCACCAGACCCCATTACAGATGGTTGTGAGCCACCATGTGGTTGCTGGGAATTGAACTCAGGACCTTTGGAAGATGAGGCAATGCTCTTAACCACTGAGACATCTCTTCAGCCCTGTGGTCTGTTTTATAAGAGTGAAAATCCCTCCAAATAGAACAGGTTCACATCTGAGATGGGGATTTCAACATAGGAATTTTGAAGGGGCATAAAGACCTACAGGGTCAATGACACTAGAAGTACCTTGGTCCAGCAATGTATAATATGTTGGTCCCGTCTATGGATGGGTGGTGAAGTCTCTATAGCGCATGAATGACCTTCATCCAGTTGGTGGGACAGCCTGAGGTGTTGAACAGCTGGGCAAAATAGAAACGTATACTAAAGCAATGAGGACTGCCCCCTGATGGATGAAGCTAAACATGGCCTCACATCAAGTGAGTATCATGCAAATAAATGAAGGCATGTATGCACACATCGCACACACATATCACACACATCACAGACACATCATACTCACATGCACCATACACACATGCATTACACACATCACACACATGCATCATACACATCACACACACGTGTAACACATGCATCACACACATCGCATACACAAACATCATACATATATGCATCACATCGCACTCACACGTATCACATCACAGACACATGCATCACACACACAATGCATCATATGCACGTGTATTATACACATCACACACGCGCATCACACATATCACATACATGTATCACACACATGCATCATACACACGTGTATTACACACATCACACACGCGTATCACACACATCACAGACACATGCATCACACACAATGCATCATACTCACGTGTATTACACACATCACACACACGCATCGCACACACATGCATTACACACATCACATACATGTATCACACACATGCACCATGCACACATGTATTACACACATCACATACACATACGCATACATACATCACGTTGCACACACGTATCACACACATCACAGACACAAGCATCGTATGCATCACACACACATACATCATACACACATGCATTACACACATCACACACATATGCATCACACACCCACAAAAAGCGCTTCACAAAGGGATGTCAGTGGGAGAGTTCACTCATAACCCCAGTGAAACGTAGACCTTTTCCTTGTCTTTGCTCCACTCCCTTTGTCGTCAGTGGCATAGCAGTGACTCTCATTCCGCTCTGACTCCATTGC